AGATAGATAGATAGATAGATAGATAGATAGATAGATAGATAGATAGATAAGATAAGATAAGATAGATAGAACTCCTAATCCCTGAGATCTTGACCAGGAGGTTTAGTTCAGAGATTCCTGAGTTCTTGGATCTGGTCGCTCATGCAGAGAAACTCTGAGATCTTCTCTAGCAGGAGAGTCAGTTCAGTGTGTTTAAGACCGGATCAGAGGCAGTCCTGTGGTGCTGGTTTACAGTGATCCGGTCTGAGCCAGAGCCATTGCAGGAGCCGCGCAGCAGAACCAGACGCCGCCGGCTGTGTGGACATCTGTGGGTCTGGAGTCATGAGGAGACCGGCCTACTTCACCACGAACACTGAGAAACTTCATGAACCATTGAATTACCTATACTGAATAAGAATTACATATTATGATTCTGTTTTTATGAGTATTAATAGATGTATGTAAAGAGATAGTTCAGTCCAAAATGAAAATTCTGTAATCATTTAGAATAATCACTAGAGACAATGTTTATTTTATTTTATTTTTATTGTATTTTATTTTATTTTATTTTTATTGTATTTAATTTAATTTAATTTAATTTAATTTAATTTAATTTAATTTTATTTTATTTTATTTTATTTTATTTTATTTTATTTTATTTTATTTTATTTTAATGTAATTTTAATTTATTTTATTTTATGCAAGTCAGTGGGATCCACTATTTATTTAATATATGTATTGCTTGCAAATAATGAAAGTTCACGGGGTCCAATGTTGTTGATTTTATGAATATGAATACATTTGTTTATTTAAAGAGGTAGTTCAGCCAGAAATGAATATTCTATCATCATTTAGAATAATCACTAGAGAAGATGTTTTTTATTTTGTGCTTGTTCTTATGTGAGGGTTTGGAGCGGTTATTAAATTACATCATCATATTCTCACCACATGACCTCATTGATTGCTTTTATTTCACTACAGAAGTGCTCGATCTGACGGATAAAGCTGCCAGACGAGCGGTTTGATCCTCAGAATGAACATCCAGACGTGCTGTGTGTGCAGCGGCTCGTCGCTCTGCTTTGTTAGGTTTTGTTTTATTGTGCTGGCTTTCATTTAACGCTCGGGTCGTTTCCATTTTAAGGTGAATTACTGATAATGAGATCCATCCGCTCGTTAATGTTCACGCTGAGCTTCTATGACAATAAGTCAATAGAGCTCTCTGCGGAGAGACGCATCCGTCTTTCATCCCTCCATCGCTCCTCGTTCTCAGCCTCATCTCTCCGTCCGTCTTTCATCCCTCCATCGCTCCTCGTTCTCAGCCTCATCTCTCCATCCGTCTTTCATCCCTCCATCGCTCCTCGTTCTCAGCCTCATCTCTCCATCCGTCTTTCATCCCTCCATCGCTCCTCGTTCTCAGCCTCATCTCTCCATCCGTCTTTCATCCCTCCATCGCTCCTCGTTCTCAGCCTCATCTCTCAATCCGTCTTTCATCCCTCCATCGCTCCTCGTTCTCTGCCTCATCTCTCCATCCGTCTTTCATCCCTCCATCGCTCCTCGTTCTCAGCCTCATC